TCGAGGTGGTCCAGAAGAGACGCAATGTGGCTTCGATTGGGAGTAATCTGGCTAAGCCTTTTCTTGGGGAGAAACCGTGGTGCGGATTATAGGAGAGACGGCGCATCCAGCCCACGTTGGATGGAGCGCTGCTCTGGTATCTAGGAGGTATGGCGAATTGGTATTGTTTCGTGAAATGACCTTGGACAATGCAGAAGTGTTGGGACCAGGAGAGGCAGAGTGCTGCTGTCTTACTACAGTTCTCTGCGCGTTCATGGTACAGGTTATCGCCTACCCAAAACCCCATTAGAGACTAAAGTAAAAGGTTCAAACGTGAACTCCTCATTATCAATTGGCACTGGCCTGCAGGCGGCAGACTGGTGAGCGGCAGCTCCCCGGACGTGGTTTTTGTATTTGTTTATTTGGTTCAGATGTCCGCAGAGTTTCACATGGCTGGGTAGCAACCGTGAGCCGATTGCAGGAGAAAGTCGGCGTGTGTGCTGTGGAAGACTCTGGCTGTTCGTGGTCCAGTTCCCGCGAAAGAAGGTGGCGCGAGCCATCATCGGAGAGCCGCGAGACTTAGCGAGACCAGTCGGCCCGTAGCATCGATGTGAAGTGGAAGTCCTGGGAGGAGATGGTGCTGGTAAGCAGCTGTGACCGAGCACGGTGAGGCGTTTCTGGACCCTTTGCAGAGTTGCTATCAGCCCCATGGGTTAGGGTGATGGATGCGTCCATGCTACCTGCTGCAAGACGGAAGCGCATAGGCATCTGGATGGTGGGAGGCACTGTGAGGATCAGCGATTCTTTGATGGTTCTCGCAGTGTGCCTTCAAGGGCACCAGTGTTCGAGCGCTCTTGCTAATGGGGTTGAAGAAACGTGCGGGTTGGGTGGGTGTTGACTGACAGCTAGTGATCTCCTGGATTACTGACGTACGTGAGCAGGCAGGCACAGGTTTGTCCGTCTGGGGCAGGCGCTGTCTGTGAGCGTGGTGTCGTACGCCGGCGGTGGGGAAGCTGTGCTTTCTTGCCCTTGCCGTGCGTTTCAGCTGTAGTACGACCACATGACTTTCCGAGGTGCAACGTCTGAGGTCATGTCACCTGCAGAAGGTTTCTGACGACTCAGTGGTTGTGGGTGGTAGTAACAGGGGAGAGTGAGGTGAGTACAGGAGCACTGTGGTAGACATTGGTAGAGTGGGTGCCGAAGCAGAATCGCCATGTTGTCGTTTTGCTGCTCGTGGTGTGGGCGAAGCAGCGAAGATGGCATGAGCCGCAGAGATAGCAGACTTGAAAGAGAGTGCATCAGAAGAAAAGGCTGCGCTCTGGGATTGTCTGCGCTGGAGTCGTTGTTGAGGACGCGTGGCGGAGAGGGAGAATTGCTGAAGAAGACTGGTGGTATCGCATCGAGGTGAGACGAATGATTGCAGCGAGCCGTCGCGCGATGGCGACAGGCAGGTGGTCAGACAGCAGCAGCCTTGCTCTCCAGACTGGCTTCCGAGCTCCGGCTGGTGAAGGACAGGGAGCAGGAATATCGTTGTCCTGCAATTGCCATCAGAGTGTGTTAGCATAAAAGCTGAAAGAGACACCTTAGTATTGTTTGCTTTGGTTGTGACTGCGACGTACCGAGATGGGTAAGTGTTACAGTGGTAGGTGTGTATAGCATTTCATCAATACGCGCAGTGGTGTGGTTAGTATGCTTTTATTATGTAGTCAAATATGTTGTTCTCCTGTATCTATGTGTGAGTGTGTATCTGTAGTTGTTACTGTTGTCACTGTGTGTAATGCTGCTGCCGGTACGATCTGGTAGATTTCCCAGCTTGGGAACTCAATAAAGTAGTAGTCTATCTAGTCGTAAGTTCGTAATCTATCGTATCGTATCTACTCGATATCTGATACTAGTCTGGTAGTCGTATCGATCTGATCGTATCGGTGTATCGTCAGTCGTATCGCGTATTCTAGTAGCACAACATAAGAAGAATGAATATGTGGACTGTTATCAGGTTTCTCGTGTTGTCCTCGTAAAGCTGGTTTTAGTGAACGTGAGAGTGTAATGTTCAGATACGATGAGTTGATTACTTTAGTCTAGTCTGGAGAACTGTTGGTCGCCACGAGGAGTACTGTTAGGTCTAAATGAATCTCTATGTTCTAATTGCTTATTTAAGTAAAGTATGTTGATTTTGATTCAGGTGATTTATAAGAAATCAGCAAGGTATGACAGTTCATATTATGTTTTCTTAGTTGGAGCAAAAATATCGTTAAGACCATGTGGGAAAATGGTGGAAATGTGGGTCCCAAGCTGAGACCAGTAGAAACCAGTGACAGCCATTAAAAACAAGTTAACTTGCTCATTTGTTTGAGCAAAGAAACACAAGAAAAATGCTCACTCAATTCCCTAGGAGCAGTTTGTTAAAATAGAAGCCCTGTAATTGCCAGAAAGCGGGTCAGTTTGACATTAAACTCAAAATGGCTGACTTCCTGTTGGATTTAGCAAAAGGGTCCAAGGGGTTTTTTTGTAGATCCTGACATGATAGAAGTTTCACCCGATACCCATATGTGCCAGTTAAACGGGATGCTGGGGCTGATTTTTTATTTTTTTTTACAACAATGCCTATATCATGGCAAAATGTAATCTTTCACGCCATGCCACAGACACGCCGTTTCATTAATATTCATGAGGAGCACAACTTTTAATTCTGGAAGTCTTTAGAACGTGCTCACTAATTTGTAAGTTATTAAAATACAACACCAAAAATGACCGGTAAATCCAAAATGGTCGACTTCCTGTTGGGTTTGGGGTATAGCTCCAAGAGGTTTTTTTGCTTAGCAGTGCTAGCACCAGCACCCTACTGGATCAAAACACTGACGAACAAGCTGGTCTGAGGAGCTGCCTTCTTTCCCCCCACACCCCCTTGGTGCTTTATATCGGGTGCGAAAGAGCGAAAGAGAGAGGCCAGATACTCAGCTGGCATTAACAGAGACATTACAACGACAGCAGCCCTACAGTAAGGACAGAAGGCAATGGAGGAGTGCGGCGTTAAAAGCCTGGGCTGCATGTCTCATTCGCTGCAGCTAGCAGTGCATGATGGAGTGTTAAGCCAGCGAAGCATTTCTGACTGTGTGGCTATCGGGAGGAAAATAGTCGGACATTTTCGCCACTCTCAACTCGCCACCTCTCGGCTGAGAGACATACAGCAAGAGTTAGGCATGAAAACCATGATGCTGCAACAAGATGTCGCAACCAGATGGAACAGTACTTTTTATATGATGAAAAGTCTACTGGATCAGAAGCGCGCACTTGGTGTGTATGGAGCAGATCACGAGCTGCCTGCTTGTTTAAGTGCATATCAGTGGGGCCTCGTTGAAAACATGACCACGCTTCTCACTCCATTTGAACAATTAACGAGGGAGATCAGCTCACATCTGGCTACTACTGCGGACGTGATTCCCTCTGTAGTGGCACTGAAACGTTTGCTGAGCAAGGCAGCCGACACAGACAGTGGGGTCCGCACAGCAAAGCACACTCTACTGGAAGCTGTGAACGAGCGATTTGGAAGCGCTTTCTCTGAGCCGCTTTACTACTTGGGAACGATCCTTGACCCCCGGTACAAAGACCGTTATTTTGACACAGTCACCAAGCAAGCGGCAGTAAATATGCTCCAGAAGCAAGTGGACAAAATGACGCACAGCGACAGAGCTACGGAGACACCGCACACAGAAGAACCGCAAGAGAAGAAGATAAGAAGTGATGAGGGTGGAAAGTCGCTGTTTGACATGCATGATGAAATTCTGGAGGAAAACTCGACCATGGAACAGCAGGCAGGCCTGACAAGCCACACAAGTGTGCAGGTATAGTAATATCAGACCCAGTCTT